GGACAAGTTTTTAGACCTCGCATGGGAAAGCAAGATACGCATCATTAACTACCCCGAAGTGCTAGAAAACTCGGGGCAGATCATCGGTGGGAAGTTCGACCTCAAGCAAGTGAAGGTGACCCATTACGACGATTTCTTGCCTGACCTCGAGAAGGCAAATTCATTGCCGTTGAACGCAGGAGAAGGGAAGGAGGATGACGACGACGACATGGTAATGAGGATTGTCCCTTGGGAGGACGGTACGTATCTTTTACAAGTCGCCTCTCACCTGTGATTGACACATGTCCTGTCAGACGACAAGACTTTGTCGCTTGACGAACAGGGAGATGTTGGGCTCGTTGTCGCGACAGATGGTAGATGTCTGCGTCGCGTTCGCCATAGCCCGGCGTTCAACAAAGCTGTGGTTGCGGAGGGTGTGAAGACGGCAAAGAAACCCCGCAAGGACGAGGGCTTGCGTCGTCCCAAGGAGCAAGCACGTCGGGCGCCGGCTCCCCCCCCTCCCCCTGCTTCGCGTCCAGTAGCAGGTCCTTCCCGATACCGCGGCGACGAGTTGCCCGCCCCTAATAACCGCACTGGCGAAACGTCCCAAGCCGGCCGCCATTGGTACTACTTGTCTCCCGATCCGCGCTACTCGCGGGAGGCTGAGGGGATTGATCAGTACCCCCGCGACCCATCGCCTCGCTACACACCATCCGCTCCCCCTCGCGCCAACGCTGGCCGCTACTCGCCTCCCCCTCGCGCTAACGCCACCATCCGCAACTCGCCTCCCCCTCGCGGTGACGGGACGCGCTACCTGCCACCGGCTCCATCACGCGCTAACACCGCTGCCCGCCACTCGCCTCCGCCTCGCGCCTACTCGCCCCCGCCTCCGCCTCGCGCTAACGCCGCCGCCCGCCACTCGCCTCCGCCTCGCACCTACTCGCCTCGCGCCTACTCGCCCCCGCCTCGCGCCTACTCGCCCTCGCCTCCACCTCGGGCTAACGCCGGCCCCCGCTATCCCCCTGAGTCTCGCGGTAACGCGGCGCGCTACCCGCCCCCGCTTCGCGCTGCCCCTTATGCGCGTGGTGAGGGGGGAGCAGTTATACATCGACGAGTAAAACTCGAAGACCAGCCCGGATCATCGCGGTCGGCAGCCTTGGATGAACGCCTCGCACTTGCGCCCGCCGCACCCCGCGACAGATCTTCACGGACAGCAGCCCTGGATCAAGGAGCGCCCGCCGCACCCCACGCCGGATCTTCACGGTCGGCAGCCCTGGATCAACGACTCGCACTGCCGGTAGCCCTACCACGCCCCGAATCTTCTCGATCGGCGGCCCTGGATCAACGAGCGCCCCCACCCCACGCCGGATCTTCGCGCGACAATCGTCCTCAACAAGGCGATCGCACGGCGCAAACATATCCGCGGTTAGATTTGGCTGAGCGACCACCGGCGCCGAAACGCAAGCACAACGATGCGGGAAGCCTTCCAACTGATCGTGACGCAAAACGCTCGCGCTTGCAAGACGATGAGGCACTGCGCCCGGGCCAACTGGACGTCTACAAGCTCCGGTTCAGGGTTTCTTCGGGCGTGCCGAAAGTATTCTATGCCACCGGATTCCGTCGGGTGGGAAAGTGGTCGCGGGCAGACATGCTGCTGTACTACGAGTTTCGCCACCCCGACCGCGGGGATGTTTTAGTGCACATTCCCAAGGACAGTACCCCTGTCTTCGTATCGGAGCAGGACCGCCAGCGGTATGAGTCGGAGATTTCGATTCACGGATTGGAGGACTTTTAACGATCTCCTATTTATATAATCGATGCTTTTCTGTAGCCCTTCCTGTCCTTCTGTACTATTGATGTGTCGTAGTTATATGTGTCGTAGTTATTCTGCTTTCTCTCAAACACTTTCTGATCGGCGCTCTTGTAGATCAAACAACAGACAACAAACGCTATCGTCCCAATTTAGTAACTAAGTTCATAATTACTATCATTTTGTTAATATCGCTGTCTCTTTGGGCCCATTGTAGGGAACATGTTCCCATTAATTTATGCAGACACTGTGGTCATGTGGATAGGTGAAAGGATATTAATGAATGCTCTGTTCGGCGTCATAAAGCGAAGGTGCTCGTGTAAATAAAATAGGTGATAATATGGGATATCCCATGGTCATCACTGAAAATATGGGAAGTCCCATGTCGTGGCTGAACATATGGGAAGTCCCATGTCATGGCTGAACATATGGGAAGTCCCATGTCGTGGGTGAACATATGGGACGTCCCATGGTCATCACTGAAAATATGGGATGTCCCATGTCCTGGGTGATGATGTGGGACGTCCCATGATCGGCGGTGAAGATATGGGATGTCCCATGGTTGTCATTGAAGATATGGGACATCCCACAGTGGGCATAAGGAGGATGGGATATCCCACAAAGAAAACCGCTTTTGTGGGACATCCCACCGTCAGAAACGGGAATTTGGGACATCCCTCAATGTGGGTGAATGTGGGAGATCCCACACAAACACAATGTGCCTGGGATCTCCCTATTATACCATGGCATGCCTGGGACATTTATGGGATCTCCGATGAGTAGTGGTGTTTAAATTATAGGTATGTCTCAATTTGATAAGGAATGGATAATATTGACTTATAATGACTTCCATATTTCCAGAGTCTATTAGCAACTTGTGAGTGTCATCCGTGATGTCAGACCACTCACAGACCCACATTCCCTCACCCAAACGAGAACTACACCTCCTGGAGCAGAGCAGAGATGAATGGGCAGAACTTCAAAAACTTGTTCTGTGATCATCAAGGGCACACTTGTGGTGCCATCCAGTAACGAGGCTGAAGTCGGGTGAATGACAAAGATTCATGAGTCTAGTTGATGAATGGATGAAAATGTTTTTTTTTTATTTTCAGGTGTTACGATCAGTAGCAGACTCAAAGGCCCAAACCTGAGAAGCAAAGACCATTGACTAGGCAAATACAGTGGTCGAGCATATGTCGATGACTTGAATGAGTCTATCATTTGCAACATCTGCACCAGGCAGGCTGTATGCCCCTGAGAAAAAAGGTAGTAAACGGAGAGCCCAAATCTGTTATTTTTTTTCTGGCCACGCTACGCACGGCATCAGTGCTAGCTGCTATGTAGGCTACCATGTAGGGTACAGGCCCAAACCTGCAAAGCACAGACCATTGACTAGGCAAATACAGTGGTCGAGCTTAAGTCAATGACTTGAATTACTCTACCACTTGCAACATCTGCGCCACGCAGGCCGCATGCCCCTGATGTAAGGTAGTAAACAGAGAGCCCAAGTCCGTTTTTTTTCTGGCCGCACTACGCGCGGCATCAGTGCCAGCTGCTATGCAGGGCACAGGCTGTATGGAACAGGAAAAGGGCGCTCGAACAGGCTCAAATACCGCCCCAAAAACCCATTTTTGCTGCCCTGGCTGGGAAGGCGTGACGTGACAGGTATGGGGCATCCCACAGCATATGGGACATCCCAGGCAAATTTTTCGGGCCCGCCTTCGGCGGGCGGGATGTCCCATATATAGTGGTGGGACACCCCATGGACATCCCATACACATACATGGGACATCCCATACCATATGGGACACCCACCTAAATTACAACCCCCTTGGGATAGTTATCTCATGAGAAAAGTTAATCCCTAGGGGTTGGTCATATAGGTAGCCTGAGGTGCGCCAGGTCTCTAATTTAATCTACGCCACGCGCGCTAATGCGCATAATCGCTGTTTTCCTTCGCACACGCATCCCGCTCTGGCCTCGCATCGACACCGACATACACTCGCACTTGTACCCGAATCGCATCTCCGCATCGCATTCCTTACTGGATCTCCCTTCGAGACAGACGCCACTCATCACACGCACAAATCATGTAATCTACTGTATATCCATCAATCACAACTGGATTCTCGCGTCATCTCTATCTTCTCAACTCCTCTGCTCGGCGCGAGTTACTTCCGTTGCAGCTATCTGCGCTGCGCGTCTCCTAGTCCCCGTCCATCCCGAACGGGCCGCCGGATATCCGAATTGCTCCTGGCTCTCTTTCTTTCTAGCGCTTTCCATTTGAATTGCATCTCTGCATCACGATCACCGAGTCGCAACTACTACAATCGCTCTCGTCCTCGGACCAACACGCACCCTCTATGCGATTGCACGGCCACTTGATCTCATCTCATCCTTGTCGTAAATAGTCCATCCGCCGAATCGCAGCAGCTTACCGAATCTTCGCCAATAATATCCATCCATCCATTTTTCAAGTACATACAGTATCGTACTAACCCGGAACTCAGGCCTACTATGTTTACCACTCACCTCGTAGTGCCGTCCGCCACATTTCTATTCATTGTGTGCGCATGCTGCCCAGCGGCGGGCACGCAACTGCGCCTCCCTCTTTCTCTCTCTGTCCCCCCCCCCCCGCCCCCCCTCCCTCGCTTACTCATTATAGAGCTCTACTTCTACTACCGCGCGGCGAGCCACAGTAGTCTCAACGTCGGCGTAGAGTCGAATCGAGGCGGATGCAGGCGGTATGTACGTGTGTCCGAATCCTCCAATAATTTGAATACATAAATAAGCCCTCCCCTGATAAATTCAAGTCCGCATTCGCATCCACTTGGCGGCTCAGCCTTCAAGTTGAAATCTTCGTCGCCAGCCAGCCATCCTGCTCCGTGCGTGGGGGGGATATTATACTCGCATGGTCCACAACCGTGTGTCGTGCAGTGTCTATCGAAGAACTGCCCCCCGCCGTACGGGGCTGTTCTTGTTCCCGTTGTCCATATGCGCCGTGCGTGCGTCGGTGCGGGTGTCTGCCTGCCCGCTGGCGGCAGTCCTTGAACAGTGAGTCGACGTGCTCGAGATTCCGCACCCTCAACGGATGACGCGGGTAGGTCGAGCCTTCGGTGTTCTCGGATGAGAAGAAAGGGGGACTCCAGAGGGAAGCAAAAGAAAGAGAAGGGAGTAACAAAAATGAGGGACTTGCAACTGTGCTACATAGGTCGGGCGCCAGGAGTCGAACCTGGGTCTCGCTGGATCGATTCAATTTGTCAATTTAATACCGTACGGATGCGGCGGGTGTTGCGTACACTACGCCCGATGAGATAGCTCTGAGCGTTGGCTTCAATATCTCAGCAAAACAAATGGTCGTAGTTCACCATGTCGAAGCCTTGTACTAACTAACTCGGACTGAGTACCGTTGTTCAACTGACGGAGAGGTTTCAGGAAGAACTTAGCATTCCGTCCCTCCTGCGATTGTGACTATTGTCCGGTCCATCTATCGACTATCTATGTTCAAATTCGGGAATAATATGTGTACGAGAACGAAAAAGGTTTCAACGAGAATTTGGAGGTGCGAGGAGAGGGAGGCGCGCGCACTTGCGCACATTGTTTCGTGGATCCGAATCAAGAGGCTAAGATCCCGGGAAATTGCGTTCCTCGACGCGTGCATTCAATGAAACTCCCGGGATACTGGATAAATAAAAAGGGAGGACGAGCTATGCATTACTCGGGCGCCAGGAGTCGAACCTGGGTCTCGCCGGATCGATACAATCAGTGATTAATAACAGATGCGGCGGGTGTTGCGTACACTACGCCCGATGATATTGTGCGAAAGGACCCAGTGTAAGTGAGTGAGTGAGTGTTGAGATACTGGGTGAACGAAGGCGGGAGGTAAGAGAAGTTGGAGATGACCAGTATGCAGGTGCACGTGGGAGGGTGAACTTCTGCATATCACTATCCCGCTCTAGATTTCATCCGCAGAGAGGGGGGAAAAAAAAGATTAGGATATCATATACTCGGGCGCGAGGAATCGAACCTGGGTCTCGCCGGATCCGAGTCGATTCAATCAACGATGAATACAACACGGATCCGGCGGGTGTTGCGTGCACTACGCCCGATGATATCGTGTGGGCGGATCCAGCATAAGTGAATGAGTGGGTGTTGAGATATTCGCGGGTGAAGAAACGAAGTTAAGAGAAGTTAGGGTGACGAGGAGGAGGGAGAATAGTCACTCTCCACTCTAGATCTTCCGCACATCCACAGAGAAGGGTTTTTAAAAAATGGTTTAGAGGACATGAAATCGGGCGCCAGGAGTCGAACCTAGTTTCCTCCTTGACCCACGTGTACGAGAACGAAGAGGCGGGAGCGTGTTCCATACACTATGCCCGATTATACTAATACTAAATATTTGGGTCAACTTGCTTCCCTCAGAAGGAGGGAGCTCAAGAAAATCTCGGCGAGGTGCCACGGAGAGCAGCAGGGTGAACAAAGAAATCAACAAAAATTTATTTATTATAAGTGTTCCTGTTGTATGAGTTCGGCCAATCACGCCGAACTTGTCGAACTTTGGAAGTAAGAAGATCTCGGCAGGAGTTCTCGTTTGTCGCTTCCCCAGGCTGGAATCCACCTCGCCCATCCTCTGCTCCCTCGAAATAATATGCATTCCTCTTAGTTCACGGAAAAGGGAGTAAAAAAACAATGCAAGGACTGCCACGTTAGCTCGGCCGCCAGGAATCGAACCTGGGTTACTCCTGGATCCACACAGGTTGGAAAGACAACTGTAAGCGAAACCGGTATCACGCGGGATACGGATGTTAGCGCGCGCAGTAGTAGCACGCGTGAGAGTAGAGAAGCGGTTGGTGTTACACAAATGTAACACAAACTATCAGAGAAATGAGAATATTAAGGTTCGGGAACCCTTATATAATCGGTCAACACGAGGGACTTTCACCTATCAAGTAGTATGCGAAGCTTTGCGTCGCAGTAGTACCGGATATTAAGAGTATGACTGTAAGGCTTTGCACTACAGTAATACTAGTTGATAAAAGAGGACAGTTATGAATCTAGTAATGTCGTGAAGCTTTGCGCCACGAGAATAATAGATTATAAAAGTAAGCAAGATTTAGAGTGAGGCCTTGGCGTCACTGTATCACGCAAAAATGTGATGGTTCACTGGTAGTGTGTATTGGCAAAGATGTAAGATGTCCCTACAGAAGGGAGGGACTCCCTTATATACTATGTAGGAGTGAGTCAGAGCTCTGTCCGACTCACTCTGACTCACTATGCTGTGCTCATAGCCTTGGTGCGCATGCGAGTCTATGCAGTGAACCGTGAGAAAGAAGTAATCGAGGATCAATTATCAATTGATCGCTTACTAATCAAGATCGGTGGTTCGAGCTTGATTTACATTAGAGAAATGACCGCGAAAATAAATACATGGAGTCTTGTAATAAATAGTACAGGTCATATCCATCACAACAACAAAGAGGCAGGCGGGTGTTGCCGCTTGCGTACACCACGCCCGATTATAATAAATATCGGACTGACTTGATTACTTCATAAGGATAAGGAAGGAAGTCTCGGGGAGGTGCTGCGAAGAACAGGAGGGAGAACAAAGAAATAAATAAAAACCTAATTAATATATTAGTGTTCCTGCTATATGAGTTCGGCGGCCTGGAACGCGAACCTGGCTCAACCACTTCGCAATAAGAAGTTGTCGGTAGAAGGTTTCATTTGGCCCCGTACCGGAATTCGCCCGTCCTCTGCTTACTGCACGATAAGATATATCCCTCCTGGTTGACCGCAGAGAAGGGAATGAAAAAATAATACTATAGACTGTCAACAAAAAATTCGCAAACTTCGACCCATTTCAGGGGCCGGGGAGCGAACCTGGGTCTCTCCACTCCATGACGTTGACGTCAGCGATGAGCAAGGAGGATTGAGGATGTTCCACATACCACACTTTTGGGTCCGCGCTTACAGTAAGTGCAACAGCGATAAATAACCCGATTGCCGTGCGAACACTGACGAGTTTTCGCTCACACGTGTATGAGAACGAGAGGCGGGAGGATGTTCCATACCATGGCTGATTATGATTAATGTTGCGTGATTCTCGGCCTACCGCATAGGAGAGGTCCCAGACTCGTAGCACCGCTGAAAACGAGTGTATAGTGGAGTCCAGAACTCGGAAGGGAGTAATACCTATTCGGTAGCGGCGGAAAGCCCGGGACATTCGCGCGGATATGTTGTAGAGATCCCATGTAACTTAATTATCAACGTGTCCGTGAATGCGAATGCGATGGAGAGCACACCTATATGTATATGTTCACGCGTTGTCCCAGACCCGCAGAACTTGGAGTACTTATCGTAGAGTCGAGAAGATCGAGTAGAGCGGTTATATTGAGAACCTAAAGTGAATGCGGGGCACGGGCAAGTCGATACACGAGAAATTCACCAAGCTACTGTAGCGAACGACAGGATTCCCTAGCCGGGGAGAGAAGGATTTGAAGTGTTCTGAGCCGAAGTGGAGAGGCAAAGTTAAGCTGAGGGCGGAGCGGGGGTCCATGGCGCAGCATGTTTGTGCGTATAAGGAGGGGAGGCGCGGATCCGAATTGATAGGAAATGTATATGGAGTGAACCGGTTACCAGAGATACATATATCGGGAGGAGCTGTGCCGTGTACCGGGAACAGAAAGATGCTTAAGGCTCTGAGGAAGTCACCGGAAACCCAGGGAAGCCAAGCCCAAAAACAGCGAGAAAGAGGGACCCTGACAACGAAAGAATCGAAACCCAGATAGGCCAGAAAAAGCGAGAGGTACATCAGATCGTGGGGAGAAGAGATGGAAGGGATGGGAGCGTAGATGGCGAGATCGTCGGCTTATAAGTAAGGAGGGTGCGGGTACATGTCTGCGTGGTATATGCCATCTTGAGCGCGTGGATGAGACCTGATCGGACGTAGAAGTGGAAGGAAGTGAAGAAAGAAGGTGGGTGAATGCGAAAGATGCATCAATGCGAGTGTTAGAGAGAGACGCACCGTATACCATGTACCGTGTAACATGTATCACACATCGTGTCCTTCTCCTCGAGCACACGCACCTCCGTTATGCCTTCTCGCGAAGCAACACCTCGGCCAAGGCTTGAGCTTGAACTCCGCTCCTTGTCAGAGTCAGAGAGGATTAGCAGTCCCGCGCCACCGCCGGAGTAGTTGTGAGATCCCCTCAATCCCCCGCACACAGAGTACCGTTATGCGCAAGGAGGGCTAAAGTCCGAAGCTCAAGTCGAAGAAGTTGAAGAGGGAGCCGGAGCGGAGGAAGGAGGCGGTGGCGCTAATGAGGAGCTCGAGGACGACGAGGTACGCAGCAGCAGTGGCTCTGGCGGTTGACGGCGAGTATGGATCAAGATGGGCGCCCGTCTCAGCAGGGAGGGTCGCGGGTGGTAAAGAGGCGGCGTTGATCGGAAGTCGAGACGGATCGGACCGAAAAGGACCGAGGACGCACGTGCGTTCAAAATGTTCGGTTTTGCTTATTTGCTTATTGATTCCGACGGACTATCTGAGAAGCTTACCCTTGGCCATTAATATAATTCCTCACACCTTGTGAGGATGTAGTTCAGCGTCGTGATTTCCCCCGCCGTGCAAGGTCCGGGAAGTAACCGCGTTGGTATAACGAGTACCGTATTGGGCTACCATTTGATAATCTTGCACTGAATCAGGGATCTGATTCAGGGTCTTATCCTAAGAAGTTGAACTAGGGCTGGATACTGTATATAGCATACATACTTGCAGCACTTTACTGGGTGATACCTGGACCATACACATCTATAATATAATAGAATGGCGGACATACAGAAGTTTCCATTGATCTTCCATACTCACGGTCATTTCCGACGGGTTCCGTTTTTCCCGTTCTCGCCGGCAGCACCGAGCGCCCATTAAGCGCGCGGCCCCGGGCATCTCGGACATGCGACAATGTGTAAGTTTATTGTATTAGCAAGTTACTGTAAGACAACCTTTGTCAACCAACTGTGACATCCCACAACCTTTGCTGGGTAGGAGCATTTGCCATGAAATAACCTTTACTGGGGAAACAAGCCATACTGGATAAACAGCCAAAGGGAAAGGTAATCTGAATGATGTGCAAGTCTGTGAATTTATTCACGGGTACACTGAGCACCAAATCAGCGCTGAATCAACCCCACTAGGCTGCCACGTGATGCAACTTAATTTGGCTGCAACTAGACCAAGAGTCTAGACTGGGTTTAAAAATGACTGTGAGCGGGGGAAACACCCTCACTGGGTGACCGGGGCAAAACATTTTACTG